TCGTACTGACGAGTACTTAGGTCTGAGTGCACGTCTTCCCCCCTGAGGCCTGAGGGCCATGGCCTGAAGGCTTGAATGTCTTCCCTTAGGTGCGGCTTTGTGATGATAACCCACCGTGAATCTTTTCTGTTGATGGCAGATTACACGATGCGCTGGGCAAAATGTCCCCTTCCGAGTCCCATAACCGCTGTCAATGGTCTCTATTTGTCTCGTACAAAAAGACCTGCCCGAAGCGGGCGGGGCTCAAGGAAACAGTACGTCCTGCATGCGCTGTGAGCTAGTGTGAAACTATTCCTTCCCCTCTCATTTGTTCTAAAACTGAGCACACTTGCGCTTGGAGGATGCCTTCTAGGCTCATTGATATGCCACTATATCTCTTCCACTCTCGGCACTTCGATGATGGTCTGCGGCAGCGACATTAAGTTCCTAGGCTGCCTGGACAGTCGGGCCACTATAAGATCTGCCAGCATATCCGGACACCCAAGCCAAATCTTTGGCAAGAAGTTGGCACTTCCGGACAAATGGCCCTCTAAAGCCCATTAAACATCCGGTACACGAGATCAAGGAATTCATCGAAGGTCCTCCTGACAGTTTCCAATGGCACATTGTGGCACAGGACTCTGCGGAAAGGGTAAATATAAACTGCCGTTCCTGATCCAGGGTTCGCCACGTCATTCGTGTGGGAGCTCTTATACGCTGGTGCATGCCCAGGCCCTGAAAAAACCGCTCACCACAAGCCAACTTAAGCGAGTGGCAAAAGTGGTGGTGCATATGGTTGGCAAAATAGAGGGATCTGGCATGATCGAAGACACGAGCATTTGGAAAGAGGGTGCGAGGCGATTAGATGCAGGTGTATGCATCCTTTCATATTCGCCCCTGGCCACAGTCTATCTGCCGATCCCCCAGAATCTCCTTCTCCGCTAGTAGTAAAGGGTCACAACGCGAAGCGAATACTTCTCTTGGAGGCCCGTAGACGTGTTGAGATGCCATAGTTCCTTGAGGAAGCAGTAGCTGTCAATGTGACTCGACGCAACGCGCGATTCTTGTCTTGGCAGCAAGCTTCTCCTTGAGCATCAGATAATCGGAACGGTCCTCCAATGCTGGTAGTGGAAGGTTGGAGCATCATGCAGTTCAGACAGCAGATGCAGCCCACCTATGTGTGGCACGCTCCTCCGTGGTTCCGTCCTGTGAGTGCTCTCATCAGGCTTTGTCAGGACCCTAGTGGCCGCTGAAATCAAGCCACAGTCTGAGGCGCGGAGTTACCTTGTTGCCCTCTGCCAATAGAAGGATCAGAAAGTGTATCAAAGGTAACTTCCTGATGCCGAAGAACGGCAACTCGGAGATAATAACATGACTGTCAAGATTTGTTTAGGCATTCATTGGTTGCTGTTCCATGCATATGCAGAGCTCAACACTGTTTTGCTGAAAGTAGAAGCAGCATAGGCAAGAACGGCACCCAAGCCGCAGGTGTGCTAGCACTTGAAAATGTATTTTTTCAGGGACCACTAGGTCACGTGAGTAAGTACTTGTGCAGCTAAACCCGACCAATATATGTTCTGTGCCTGCCACTACATCCATTCAAATTAGTCCTCTTGACTGTTAGTTCAGGTTAAACTGGACGTGGATTGTGGCCAACACAAATGAAGTCACCTGCCAAAAGGAGATATGCGCCACAAAGCCTCCGGAGATCACTACACTGTGCGAGCGCTCCGCCGGAGAAGTTATGAAGATTTTCTGAACCCCGCTGCAGCTGCCACGTCTGGCCGCTTTAGTCCGAACAAGTGAAACAGCGTTTAAAGGGGCGAGTCGACATCACTACATTTCATGGTATTATAGATGCAAAAGAGGTCACAGTTGACCAGAGGCATCAAGATATTCTCCCTCGGCATTGTCACGGATGCGGTCTGATCGTGCACCACATTAGTTGTGCTCGAGTGACATCTTCACGGAGAGGACTCACAAGCACAGATGGCAGAACTATTGACACAAGCACGAGGAATAGGACGCATCTTGCTCTGGTTTTTGGCAACGGCATATCTATTGACGACTGGTGAGCACTTCCTTTGTCTCAAAGTCAGCATGCTCTTACCTTAGTGTACAGTGCAGCGTGTTCCAAAATATAGGATAAAGCCTTCTTTTTTAATAATTTGAGCAGACACAGCTGTCAGCATTCAAAGACACTCTCCATCAGCCAGACCGCACTCACATCTGAGAGATTTAAAGGGGTATGTCATCTGGGATCCTGGATGCCCTGCTCCTGCCACTTATATTACAGGTGGCGTCACCGATCAGATCTTGTATAGGTGCACTACTACCTCCACGAAGTAAGACTGGTTTGTGCTAATGCAGACGAAGATGTCAGACTGAAGCTTCCGGCGCACTCTTTCACCCCTGAATAATCTTGCAATTTTGAATAACAGGTCACCTGCTATCTGTGCCGAGTGCCAGAGCACCGTGACTCCGTGCACATGGTGCCACTCTTCGACATCGGCACGTCGATTGAAGGATGATCCAATGACACAAACATGTGGCTGAACTGATTAATACAACCACTTCCGAGGACTTTCCATGGCTGGTCCAGGATCGGACAGCAGCAGGCGACCCTGATGGGTCGTGACTAGTGAAGCAACTGTGCTGTTGCATGCCACATGCCTGATTGTAAGGGTTTGCGTCTCATGATGTGAGTGAGAAGAGCCGTGCTCTCAGCTGCTGTAACGAAGATTGTCTGGTGTGGCCAATTCAAGCCCATGTCCCTACTATGTCAAGTTGATGAGGGCCACCCATGTGCTTTCAAATCTTCACCTAGGCCGGGATCAGACGGTACTTGCCTACTGGTCGCCACTAATGTTTCCAGAAGAATGCGGCACCCAGCATAAGCTGGTGCAAAACTATCTTGGCAATATGCTTACTGTAGCCAAGAATTTATGGGCTCATAGAAATTGTTGTACTCATCCGGCGCACTTCTGGAATCTACTGCGCCGCAGCATCCTGCTGCGGAGGGCTTCCAGCGCTGACCGTGGTAAAGCATACACCTTTGAGGAAAATGGAACATAAGCAGCAGAAACAATCCTTTTATTGTACAGCATTGGCAGCCATAATACCGCTTCCACTTCCTTTCACCCTTAGCTGGCTTTGGTATGCAAGTGCTTTAACTCGTTTGTCCAAGTTTCTCCACGGCTGACTTCGGGACTGCAGCGCATGCTTCAAAAAACTGCAGTATTGCTCCATATAGAACGACCAGGTGATGCACAATGACCCGCAGTTTCGTATATCATCTGGTATGTGCAAAAGCCCATGTACAGGCAGCAAGCAAAAGGCAAGTCTCAAGTCATCATGCTGATAGTAATATCTGATGAAGTCTCATCAGTTCTGCATGTACTGGATACTGTAAGTAGCCTCTTACTCTTCATATTTGGTGACCCAGTTCTGGCACTGCTGTTCTAGGTCGTTGATTTCAGCTGCTGTCAGTTCGAACTGCAAGGTAATCTTCATAATCTTGACCAAGTCAAGAAAATGCTCATAGTACTTTTCATCCGAGAAGCGACTCTGCAGGAGGTGAGGTGCAATATACATAAACCAGAACACATATGACTCGGCAGTAAATGTCGAGCGATCATGCACAATATTACCGAGTGAGCAGATAAAGCTAGCCGGTATGTCCTTCACTGTGTCAGCTGTTTCTCTTCCAATCTCCTCTCAGGTCGCGTGATCAATCTTGTAATCTTCTGCACCAGAGTCCATCTCCTTGAAGCGTCCTTGCCAGATGTCAAGAAAGTTGGGAATTGATGTTCTCTGAAAAGAGATGAAGCCACTCCCAAGAGCAGGACCGTGACCAATCGAGAGAGTTGACTCAGTGAAGCGCAGGCAAGCTTTTGATCCCATAGTACTGTTCGAGCTTATGCTGATGCTTCTTTGTTTGTGCACCTTCAATCTTTGTAACGGCGTCATAAAAGCTGTTGTGAGTCCGCAATGGCAAATGCGTTGTGTCCCAGACTTTGCTGATGCCGTTCTCATCTGGAGGGCGTGTGACAGGAAGGTAGTAGACACAGTTTGATCCTGAAGACATGCAAACACTGCGCATGGTACACGACCTGCAGGGACAAAGGCTAGAGTGTCCCTTGAGATTGAGAAATTTCTCAATCGCAACAATGTCACCCTCTTCCGTAAGCTGGTAAGCATGTAAATCGAATCTCTCGCGTTCGACCGAATCAAATCAGGGAACACTCATGGCAAGGACAGCGCATTTGTCGTCTAGTGGTGCGAGAAATGATGAGAGACCTTTCAGCTGCTTGGGACCAGGAACAACTCCAAGACAGATCAGATTTTCAAGGTGTGTAAAAATGGTCGGAGGGAAATTGTAGTTCTTCACAAGTAGTGGAGTTGCAGATGGACCTTCTCATTTGCGATTGAACAGCAGAAAGCTGTCAGTACAGAGTCCGAATGCAATGTTACGAGCATCCGAAAAGAAGGTGTGGCCCAAATTTCTGCCATCGACAGCTACCTCGGTGGTGAGCATTTCATGGTATTGCGCGGAGCTGAATACGTCCCGAATGATGCCAGACTCGTGAGCAAACTGGGTGTGGTATTTGAGCAGCTCTTGCATCTTTTAGCTCTGGTAGAATGCAACTAATTGTGAAATGAGTGGGATGTATGTGAAGATACGCTGTGTATGTTCGTCTGGAGCAAGGCGAGCTTCTTTGCAAAAGGGTCAATGAGTCAAGCTGGCATAGGAACGTGTATAGCAGATGCATGAATTAACACAGCAATGCAATGTTTGAACCTCGAGACGAGCAAGCTGTGCAACTCGCTTTGTTAGACATAGATTGAGTCAAGTTGTATTCTGTGGTAGAATTTCTTGCAAAATGCATTATAGTCTTCGCGTGACATGTTGGTTGTCAATCGCAGGTCAAATGCCTGTATATTGTCCCGATCTCTATCAGTTGGAACATCATTGCCTAGAGTGATGGAGGTAGTACTGTGAGTACTGTGGCCAGCTTTTTAGCATGTAATTGAACAGACATATGAAGATCGTAGAAGTTGCATTCTTGTTCAAGCTCAACACCAATATCTAGCTCTTTTGCTGCCTCTTCCAGGTCCTGCAATATGAATTTGTACTCCTCATCTTCCTGAAACTGAAGTGCACGGTCTTCCTCTGGGTCCTTGCAGTTGTGAGGTGTGCGGCGGGATAAATCGAACACAGAGCTGGATGAAGAAGATGAGCTGTCATTAATATTGCTATCGCTGTTGTCGTCTATATAGATATTGACTGGTTCATTCACAGACATCAAACTCGCATCTGACAGCTGTTCAGAATCTTTCTCATTGCTGGACTGTAGGTACCAGCTGCCATGAGCTTTGCCCAACTGTTCAGACAAATTGTTACTCACGGCATTTGCAATCTCATTGCTGATGCCAAGCTCGTGGTCAGAGCTTGTGTCAGCAAGCGATGGTTGTATTGAATCCTCTCTACCCTCCTGTCGTGCAGCCTGATAGTGTCTTTGCCGTTGACGCCATCTCAGAAGCTTTCCGCACTCAGATGTGCAACGGCAGCGCTTCAGCTTTTCCTGTTGCTTTCAATGTCGAGTTTTCAGCATGAAAGCTGAACAAAGATCTGGTATAACAATTGAGAGGAGTCAGTGAGTAAGGTGTTGCGTGAGCAGCAGTGAGTGGTGCAAACCAAAAAGAAGAGCAACTTCTGTAACTGACAAGATCAGCCAAGCAAGAAGCCTATAGGCTTGTAGACGATCCAGACAGATGACAAGCCAATGCATACCCACAAAACACCTTGGATTCAAAGGTTTTAGTTATATACACAAGACGATGCAGAGATGCAGAGACACAGTAATGCAGACACCAATATTTGAACGTGAAATCTTAGTGTACAAAAGGGGGGATTATTCCTGAGCATATTATCTATGCTGCAGCAATCCTTGTCTCCTCTCTCGACTTCTGCGGGACGTCATTCACAGTCACATTTGTCACGTAGATCTGCACCATCTCTGGCAGTGTCAGCATGATGAACACGAAATTGAAGCCAGAGACGGTGAACATCGTGGTGGCGCCAAAGTCGTTCACCCAATGGTACTGCAGAAACAAAAAACAAGAACAACTTCAACGTTCAGGTTCCTGACAAGAAAGAACCAAGGGTGGAGGCGTACCTGGAGGATTTCTACAGTCTCCGCCAGGTTCACACCACCAATCTAGTTGATGAGCAGCCCCCAGTGCTCGACAAGCCGCACAGTCTCGCACTTCTGAACAGTGAGCTTGCCCTTGGCAAGTATGTGCTCAACAATCATGGCAATGACCGTATTGCAGACCTTGCACAGGTTGACATTGCTCACCATGCGGAGCATCTTGAGCTCGACTGCAGCATTCTCAATGCCGTGCCTCTCTGTGAACACGCAGTCAAGTGACTGCATCACCTCTGCCTAGAACTCGCTCTCTGCTGCAGCCGTCGGGAGCGCGGTGATGCTCGACTGCATCGCCGCAGCAGCGTTCAAGATGGAGGAGAAGGACGAGGTGCGTGAGAGTAGTGCGAAGGAGACGTCGCTCTCCTTGCCTTTGTCCTCTGAAGAGTCTGATTTGTTGGCCTCCACTTGGGCAAGTAGATCTGCTGCAGTGTCTCCTAAGAGCAATTAACCTGTTTAGTGGCGTCTCTTATCACTAAACATGGTGGAAACATACCAATTTGTATCAGCTGTTGATTGTTGAAATGCTCAACCTACAATGAAGTGCTCTCAGACCTGAGTACTCACCAATGATTACAGCAGCTCAATGACTGTAGAGTTCTCCTTCGTGGTATCGATCTTGATATGGCTCAAGACATCTTCCCACTTGTCCACAGAAGTGTTCTGCACAGCACTCCAGTTCCAGTCTGGTCTCTTGCTCTCTGTTGGAGAATGTCTAGGCCATGCTGATGGACGGAACACTGAAGTGTGCAAGGACATAACATAGGTGGTGGTGTCAGGAAACAAGAATGACAAGAGTGCGCCAGGCTCACCTTGCCGCACTCACTTTAACATCAGTCACATGTGTGACATGTGTTACAGGATAGTAACAGCTCAGGCAACTTCATGCTTCAAGATCACCTTCTGTGCAGTGCACGTTGAGCTATAATGGCCAGAAATTCTGCTTCCAAAAAAAATTATCACTCTCAGGCTGCAAGATCTTCCAAGAAGCATTTGCTGCTGCGACCCCAAAACACAACGTCAAAGCCTTTTAGTGTTCGAGCCTGCTACCAACAGATCCCATTTGAAAAAAGGATTGCAAAACCATGAGGAAAGCCTGGCCGTGCACCACCTTGTGGATATAATACCCAAGAGGTCACAGGTTTAGGCAATAAAGGTGCAAAATGGAACGGAATAGTTGTGAGTCTGCATCATGAGAGCACGGCTATATGCGCTGACTCTTGTTCACCTTTGCAGCAAAAGACACATCTGTATGCAACCAAATATCTCAACACAGGCCATCCACTGTCTGCCCAAGATGATGCAGCAGTAGTCACCATCTGTTTCAAGGCATTTTACCTAATTGTCATGTGTTATCCTATATCTCATTGAAATAACAGGTGGCCGATACCTATCTGTTCCTTGCAGACTATCAGAACATCTGGCCTGTTTGCAATATTCTGTACAAGTATCTACAAAATAAAATGTCATCTGAGAAGAGGGCAAGCCGCAAAGAAGCAGTCAAAGAAAGTGATGAGTACAATGACCGTGCCGAAGAAGAAGATATAGAAGAGGATTACTTTGACATGCCTGAACGAGAGGATGAGGAAGAACAGAGAGAGGAAGAAGAGAATGAGGAAGAAGAGAGTGAGGAAGAAGAGAGAGAGGAAGAAGAGGAAGAGGAAGAAGAGGGAGAGGAAGAAGAGGGTGAGGAAGAAGAGGGTGAGGAAGAAGAGGGTGAGGAAGAAGAGGACGAGGAAGAAGAGGACGAGGAAGAAGAGGGTGAGGAAGAAGAAGGCAAGGGAGAAGGAGATGAGGAAGGAGAGAACAAGGAAGGAGAGGATGAGGAAGGAGAGAACAAGAAAGGAGAGAACGAGAAAGAGACGAGGCCTGTTGCTTCTGCTAATAAGGGGAAGCACCGGCTCCTCGAGCTGGTAAGTCCGAGTAATTGGCAACTTCAGTACCAAAGGCTGAATATATGCACCTTCAAGTACCCTGCACAGTAGCCCTCGAGTGGTAAAGCCAAGAAAGACCACTACAGTTAAAGTAAAGCATCTTTCAAACCTTCCAAGGCAGCCAATGACGCTTCTTTTCAGGACCGTGCTCTTGCTGAACTCTCTGATTTGTCTGAAGACACGCCCTTGCACCACGAAAATGCTCGTAAAGAGCAGGTATATTTATTCTATTGCTATCATCCAATGCATATACACTCTACTAAATGGCTGTAGGCTGTAAGGGGTCACGTACAGCCTGGACGACAGGCCGCGGAAGGTCACACACAGCCCAGACAACACATCGTGCCACAGCTTGCTACTCATTCTAGTTCTCGTCGCTTGTCTTCTGAGCTCTTGAGTCTTGCCGATAGTTCTTCTGTGGGTGCTAAAGTATTTTGTCGCTGCCACTCACCACTGCCTTCCTGGCCACCGAGTCCTGAACTGCCATCTGCATCAAATCACACTTGGCTACTTGCTAACTCTGAAGGTACCAGACCTTCGTCCACAGCCTCTGCTAACTGTGATGGCCCTGACAACAACTGCAATAATGATCTTGGCGACGGTGTTGACAACAGTTTCAATGACGGTTCTGGCAACAGCTCTGGTGACAATTCTGGTGAACATGCCGTGTACGCAATGTTTGCAGAGCGCAAAACGGCAGCAAAACATCCGGACAAGTGTTCTGTCCACTCATGCAACGACCTCATTCCGACAACCATTGCCGAACGACTCCAGTACCTGCTCACAGAAAAGAAGAAGAAGAAACCCAAAACAACCCCTCAACATGAGTGGGACTGCTGTCTCGAGTCCATCAATCAAGAGATCTGCACCCAAATCTCATCAGACGCTGTTCGCAAAGAGGAACGGCAAGCTGGATATCCTAGCCTCATAGATTATAATAGCCTGGCGATCCGTACTCTGCGCCTCAAACCTCTTCTTGATAGCCTTATCGAGAAGGGGGCTCTTGCGCCCACTGCAAGTGAGCTAATTGGTATTGCTGACAGTGCTAGCACAGGTTGCGGACCAGGAGAACGACTGTTCTTCACAATCAACATGCTTAACAACAAGACCTGAGGCACTGGCTTTTATTTGCAGTACACTTGCATCAAGCATATCATTTTGCCAGGATAGTACATCTACATCATTGCTCGAATGGTTGATGTCATGGAGAAGACTAATAACTCTTGCTGCTTATCAGTTTCGGATCCAAAGGCTGCTTAATTGTTTCACTTGCGCTTACACTACTGTACCCAAATGATGCACCTATGTGGAGCGGAATCTGAGAGACCATCAAACCTTTTACTCCGCCTGCCTTTTGAAACATTGTACTTGTTCAAGAGACGCTACGGAGCTTGCTCTGCCAGGATCTTGCTGGTGTGGCGAGCAGCAATGCTCAAGCAATTCTCACCAAGAGCACAAAATACAGGGATATTTGCTTCAACCGCAACGACAACAATGTGTTCGTTCAGGTCTCAAATTGCTACCTTCGGTTCATCAACAGTGACAAATCGCCCGATAGGGTATGTGTTTTGTGCTAATATGACAATGACGCTTGTATCTTAATGTGGCAAAGAGCAGCAGTTTGCTCTCACTTTCCCCTCAAACAAAGAAGAGCCTAAAACTGTCCAAAGGAAGCCAAGGCTCATCAAGCGCAAAATGGAGCAGATTTCTGAGGCCGACTTTGCTCCGGTACGTTGCTCAACTTGAATTCTTAAATTATCCACAGCTAATGCTAACGCTATGTTAGCCAACACCACCCAAGCAGTGCAGGGTATGTTCAACAAATAAGGAAAGGCCTCAAAATCAGGTCCGTAGATCTTTCACGTAAAATCAAGCTTCTTTGTGTGGTCTGACATCCAGGTGATTGGTCAGGAAGATAATCATTGTCGTTTCAGCCACAACAAAGGTACACTCCATTTTCTAGCATCTCCTTGAATTGTCTAACTTTACCGAAGCTACAACATCAACTTAACGGTGTTGCCTCATATCACTGCATAGTCCTCTACGCCTGATACTCACCCGCAGAACTTTTCCTGCTTTCATCGGCTCGCCAATTCTTGTGCCCTGTTTTGCTAGGCTTGACATCACTGGACTCTATCTCACTCTGGCAGATTCCACCAGCATGATCAGCATTTTTCACATGCTCTGGAAGTCTTGCTCTTGCTCCCACTATACTCTAACCACCCATATCGCTCTCGCTCTCACTCATCTTGGTCTGTCTATGCCTGCACGTTGCCACGGCTCACCTGCTTTTCTATTCCTTCCTTCAAGTGTGATATGTACATACCACCTTTAGTTACTTCTATCTCACTGTCTGTTGTGCTGTTATCTCTGGTCAACAGTGGGCAGCCACCACTGAAATTTAAGCTCAGACCTCCTCTTCCCTCTAATAATTGATTCTCCACATTTGATCTGGCCTGCCAATTGAGATTCCGATGATGGCATGCTGAAATCAAGAAACTCCACCGTGAACATTGCTTGCAATGTCGGCCCCTTTACTCAACCACCAACAGTCACCTAGCAGCAACTCTTCAAATGCATTGTAGCATTTCTCTCAACCCCTCTGCATCTAGAGTATCACTGGTCGAGATCAGCTGATGGTGCACAGAAGATAACCCAAATACCTGGCGAGTAAAGTTATGCTACAGAAAGTGCATAGAACCTGACTATATGCACCCTATTCCTTCCCATTTCGCTGCTCTTGACAGCTTTACACTTGCTAAAGAACTCTAGCATGCAGAATACTGAGTCATACTGGCGGAGAAGCAGGCCAGCACGGAATCTGAGGCACGAAGTGCCCTCAGCCTGATATGTCACTGACAAGGACAAGATGAGCACCAAAGAACCCAATACCATACAGACAGCTAACTTAGACGATAGACAATCACTCTCTCCTTCCTCTGTCATCTCTGAAGCCAGTACCCCTTCATGACAGTCTGGACAGCCATTTGAGCAGTGTCAACAATGCCTGTTCTTCCTACACCGATTTCTCCATCCTCCCAGCTGCTTTCTCAGAGCAATTTGATGCTAAACTTGAGGTATGTGAGATCTAGAAAAATTTCTCACCCAAGCTTATTGTACGTTCTCACTTTCCGCCAATTAGCAAGGGGATCCTTGGCTATATGCAGATTGGGCTTTACCTTTGGCAGATTCTTAGCTATTCACGGAACTGAAGACGCTGCTCAAGACTGTGATCGAGTCTTACATCAAGGAATATAGTGCTGTCGTGCCAGATTCTGCGGAAACTGTTCATTTTCACAAGGTGAGTCATTGTATTTCAAGAAATTCAAAGCACGACACTGGCATTTTCTTGTAGATCTATATTCTCTGCACGAGGAAGACATTATCTACCTCACCGGTGACATGCTTGTAAACTGGCAGTGGCTATGACAGCGCTGACGTCGTCAGTGGTACAGCGTCTGGTGTTGATGCTGTGAGGTCAGGCAAGGTAGTGGTATTGGCAGGTGCAGCATCGCCGTTGTCGGAGAAGAACAGGCCCATGAGCGCAAGTTTGACTGGTAGCGCCATGCACCGGTCGGCATGCGCACACAGTGCGGTGAGTGCCAGTTGTTAATTTTTCTTCTGCATCTGCGCAGAAGGCACCACAGGCTGGCTGTTGGTGGTATTTGCATCCATGCCTTCAGTGGCAGAGGTGGCGTGTGCGGGTGCGCTCCAGTCAGAATAACACAGCCCAGAACGTGGCTTGCTAAGGTGCTACTGGACATGAATGCGCTTGCATGCCCAGGTGTCATTGATGCGGCGCACGAGGTCAGGGAGCGCGAGCGTGGCTGGGTAGAGGTGGTTGTGATCATAGTCGAGCTGCAGAACACACACAGAAGAGGGTCAGTGCATGCTGAGTGAGCGGTGGAGGGAATGCACAATGAGCATGATCACAAGCGCATCGCAGACGGGCGGCAGGTCATCTGCTCTGTAGCACACCTCATTATTCTTGAGCGCGAGCTGCGCCTGCATCCCGTCCGTGAGCCGCATCCCGTATGTCTCGTGGAAGCACGCGATCGTTGTGACCTTGTCACTTTACATGCTCTGCAATAGCTTCTTATACTACCATGACATCTAGGATGGCGCGCCTGCAGAGAACATGCGCCGTCGTCATCGAGGAGACCGTCCAGCGTCATTTGCAGGCTCAAGCACTTGGGCATCATTGGTAGTGCATGCGGTTCTGAGCATAGACCATGGGCCGGCTCTTCAAGATGCTGTGTCACCTATCTGTGGCTACTGCATCCGGGCAACCTCGAGCCCTTTGCAGGCTGAAAATGCTCAATGTCGTTGTTTGGCATGGCCATTGCCATGCGGAAGACTGGTTGACTCAGTGAGCCTTTGTTCTATCGTCCATAATCACCTAATCAATTTGTTGTGCAGCATATACATGATGGTGCACAAGTGGTATCAGGCTCTGATATGTCAAAGACGTATGGTATCTATGCTAATTGATTTGTGTGGCAGCTCTCACCGCCGCGGAATCTCCATTATGAGGTAGTGGAACATGCTAGTAAGAATCGGTGGGACACACCGGTAAGAATCAGTGGGACACCCCAGTAAGAATCAGTGGGACACAGATAGGGACTGGTGGGACGTACCAATAGAAATCAGCAGGACATGCCAATAGGAATCAGTGGGACTTCTTGGGAGATACATGAACCGTCAATGTAAATTATCAATATGTTCCAGTGGGTAACACACTGGAAATCAGTGGGACATCCGTGGGACCCTCGAGATCTCAATGGGCGCAGCCACCAGTTACTCATGGGCAATTCCACTGAAAATTAGTGGACGTTGATGATGCCAGTGGAATACCCACTTACCCAATCAACGGATAACCCACTGAAACGTGAGTGGGAAAATGTCATACCTAGTGGGATTTCCAGGGAGAAAAATCAGTGGGTTTTCCCTTTCTTAGACATGGTATCCACATTAATTTATGCATGGTATTTCCCACTTATGATAATTGGATTCACTTCCTGCAGTGAGTAAACAGGTTGCGGCAGGCGAGAGAGTTAAACGCTGGGCCAGAGAATCGGGGAGAGAAGAATGGACCAGCAGTAACGCGACAGCAAAAATACGCGTGGTGTCACATATTGTCATTGTCACTGTCACTCCTTGTCATGTCTGCTGGGTCTGGACTCTGCTCACGCGCCATGACCTCGTCTATTCACAGACTTGTCCATTGTGAGTCTCCAATGCAGAGAAGGGAAAGCAGAGCGCGACTTTCTTTGGTATGCTGGTCCTCTTCATTGGTCAGCTCGCATTGTGACCGCACCATAGACGTGCTGTTACACGACGTTCCGCAAACTTGGCGGGGATGGCCGACTTGGCAAGTGCGCATGCGCGCTTTCCCTAGGGTAATCAACGTTCAAAAACGCCGCTAGCCTCCAAGCCTGAAGACCCCAAGGGTCAATGCAGCTGAATCGGGGGAAAGATTGATGAATTCATGACTCTCATCAGTAGCAGTCCTTGAGGACGACGCTGCAAAACACTGGCCTGTTACACCTTTCACCTGCCCAGATCACTGCAGACTCGTCGACTACACGCTCTACGCAGCTCTATGATGCTGGTCGAGCTGTTCTAACCTATGCCATTCACGACGACTGGGATCAAACTCTTAAAGCAAAGAGCGGCCGATTGAAAATTCACTAGCTCCACGACCTGTCCACCAAGGTTTGCAAGAGTAGCGAGTGGAGGGAAGACAAGCGGAGGAAAGGCTGGATAGTGGGTGACCTGCTGATGTCCAATGCTCCTGCATCTCTGACGTATGCAGAACGAAGCTGCTCATTGAACTGTACGGTCCGCCCCCAGCCCAAGCCGTACATACTCAGTTTGAGTAACCCTCGGGGTTGTCGCAGAAATGAGCCCAACACGTACTCCAACTTCTGCTCTGCGTGGGCGCAGCCTAACAACTTGCGCACTTCGTTGGTTGTCCAGCGCGAGGTCCAATAAGGAACGATGGCTCTGGGACGCGATCGTGGAAGAGAAGGTTAAGAAATCGAGGAGAGTCCAAGAGCTGAATGGAGGTCGCGCTTTGGAGGTCGTTGTCCCACTGCTAAGTGGTGTAGGCCGCAGCCAGTCAGAATTGACGTCTTAACTGTACGTCTCTACCTGTGCGCTCTGATTAATTTGCTGATGGACAGCCAGGTGACAAGGGAAACTCGACTACGAGTGGGCTGCGCTCATTGAGAACAAAGACTGCGGTCGAGGACAAAGACGAGCAGCGGCAGATCTGGATACACAAGCCGTGTCGTGAGACGGAATCACCTTACGCATCGCGCGGTCATATCCTAGTCCAAAATATATGCAGCGTCAGCCCAAACAAGCCATGGAGAATGGTTTGCTCCTAGAGCTGTGCGTAGGGAGTAAGTCGAAGATAGCAGCCACGCTTGATTGCGCCTCCCAGAATCATGCTCATCGTCGTACACCCACAGCAACTTCTCGAACTGCGGGCGAGAGTTGTCATTATCTCGGCCTGGATAAAAGGGTGCAGTGTCAGCTGCCATGCAGTGTCTGCAATCGCCCATGTTCAAGCTTCAAGTTCCAGTCTTTGAGGTCCGCGAATGACTTCAGGCCAGGGAACGTCCAGAATTCGTGCTTCTAGCATACGCCCCACCGACGCTCCTGCACCATACTCAGGATCTCGATGGCACAGATGAAGGAGGAATGCCTCCGCGCGTGGTGCACGCCTACAGCAACTTCTGTCACTGTTTGGGGATCGTTCGCGAAGTACGTGTCTGTAAAATAGCCATCCAAGCTATGCTTGAGCCTGGGCGACAATGTCAGGTTGAAAGCTAGCGAGAAACGAAGGGGCGCACCCGCCAAGTATCCATGTGTGCAGGCTCAAGTCGACGAGAATGCACCGTTATAACATTCCCAAAGCATCTTGCTGATGGCGGGTCTCGTAAATTATGGTCGTTAGTATTTTGCCCGCTGTAACAAACACCTATACTCGACACATTGTCGTGTGAGGTATCACATGGTTTATAGTGCCCGTATTGTGTCAGATACACATACTGTACACAGTCATAGTGCTACAAATAGGTCAATTATTCCGAAATTACGGTAGCAGAGCACTCCTTGGTCAGTGGCGGCGGAGCGCGACAAAATGTTTCCCAAATCTGTCGCAAAAAGTCTTATGCTCCTACATGCACCTGCCGACATAAACCACCCATGTCGGCTCATACACCCTTCTCACCACCCTTTCTGCCTCCATCTGCACCTTCAAGCTCCAGTGCATGTACACCGGTGTCTCCTGCTTCAGTATGACGCACGCGTGGCCCATAATGTTTGCGTACACCTCTGTTTCACAGGCCATCCATGGTCCGCTGCGCGCGGTAGCACATTGGTGGTAGTTCGAACACAAACCAGCCGCAGGCAAGCGACAGCTAGTCGTACACCGGACACAGCGCTACAAGGTCCTCGTCTTCTTCGCTCGGCCTTGTGCCGTTGAGGGTACGAAGAGCCATTAGTACCGCAGTTTCCAATTTGAATTGGCAAATGTAGTTACATTTCGTGGTTGTGTAGGTATTTTCACATACAGAACGAGATTCTCAACATAATGCAATACACCTTCTCGTCCCTTGTCTGGCGTGCCTCGGTGCTTGATGGCGAAGCGGTGAGGTGGCGGCTGATGCCACTACTGTAAGTGAGTCGGCAGCCAAAGGCTGACGTAGCGCGAGCGAGCTGAGTTGTGGAGTGCACGGTAGAATTGGCAGGGCCGGATGCTAAACAAGCGTCAGCTTTCTTCAAAGACCCGGTGCTTACCAGCTATGGGACGTAAGAGACCCAGAAGGCGAAAGCAAAGGTTGAATACACAGCGTCTCTTTCTTCTCGCCGAGCGCGCTACAGTGGTAGTCTCTTCGCTGCTGTGCTCGAAGACCATAACATCAGTTCTTCACAGGCGCTCTGATTAAGATTATGAAGGTTTATATGCAATTGTGCCGCGTACAAGGAGGGCAAGTTTGTCTCGGGTTTGTAACAACAAGATAATGATGAGCACATAAATATATACCATTGAAATTGTGGCACAGCAAGGCATTCTCATACAATGTACATACACATGTTATGAATACTACAATATAGGTGTCTTACTCCAGCTGTGTTGGATCACAACCCAATCCTAGACAGACGGGACGATCAGTAGCTGCAGATGCAGCAGATACGAAGGCACAACAAGACATGACCAGTTAGCATGGTGAGCGAAGCAATAAAATATGCACTCGACATTGAATTTTTGGAGCATGTTTACCGGCGCCTCATGCACACGTTATTTACCCATGTTTGTACCTTACTGACCCCAACTCGGCGCTATGACACTCGCTCTTGAACCACATCCATCACCTGCGTTTGTGCTTCTCATCTGTGGATGTGTGCTGAATGCAGCCTCGTCCCATCTCTCTGGCTCTCCTTTGTGGACATGTGCTGAATGCAGCCTCGCTCTGTCTCTCTGGCCCTCCTTTGCGGATGTGTGCTGAATACAGCCTCATCCAGTATGTCCATGATCACTTGATGTCTAATCCACCGCACTGGACAACAAGCTTCTGCCCAAGAGAGGACAGTTCCTGTTAGGGTATGTCGTCATCCAGGTGCGTGGTGCTCCATGCCTTTTTTCTTTTTTTTTAACTTTAACTTTTGATTTCTTTCCTTAGTTCACTGCCTTGCTCATCACGCCATCATCTGCCCCATCGCACCTGCCCCGGCAGCAGCAGCAGCAGCCAGCAGCCCATTCCAGCCCTTCAGGCCCATGTGGGTGCCCGAGCTTGTCGGCTTCCGCTGCCCATCTCCGCAAGTCCCACCACCTTCACCTCCTAAACCGATCTTCCCACCCGTGATTGAGCTGCCATGCCAGCAGAACACACACTCACCCTCACTGCGCTTCTTGTACAACGCTGCTGCTGCCGCCGCTGCCTCCGAGGCGGGCCCATTCTTGCACCCACTCTTGCTGCACGTCCACACACCCTGCGAAGAGTGCTTCGCGCTGCTCGCCATGAGCAGGCTCTACCTGTTTCGCCTGTCCTTGCTGGTGCTGACACCAGCATTGCAGCTGTGCAGAGTGAGTCACTGCTGCTCATGCTCATGCTCGCGCATCAGCTGCTCACTTAGCTTCCCTGAGGATCAGCCCCTGCCGTGGGTGTACCCCCCCTTTGAAGATCTGCTGCCTGCACGCTTGTGCTCAGAAGGTCAGCTCCTGCCGCAGACACATGGCCTGTCAAGCAGCAACGTGAAACTTGCACCACGTGTGGACCATTTTGCCGCAATGAGACTGGTGAGCAGGCATGGACATGGACATTACCTCAACTGATGATGCTGCGAGGTCTGCTAGACCTGCTATCTGTGTGAGTTCTGTCAGCTTCTTGTCTATTTATTGCCTGCTGACTTCTCACAACTCAACTAGGTCAAGAATGTGTTCCTGACCTTGCACCAGCACCATATGTCAGCGCCTATCAGCTTGATGGACCCTGTGGTGCACAGTAGTGTGTCGTCCTTCCTGCTGCAGCCACCCTGCCATGTGCAGCAGTCATGCAAGTGGAAGCTTGAGCCTGGAGTGGCGTGGCATAACAGTATAATACTTCTTTAGTAGCTATCAGTAGTAAAACCAATTGAAGTTTATTTGTGCAAAACATTAGCATTTGGTATGCATGAAAGCAGAGCCTGAGTGATCAAATCCTCATGAACAGCACACTTGCTCTGTTTTATGAGCCATGCATAGATGCTGCAAATTATATAGTATTATATAACTACACAATATACATATATGTTATGCAGACTATATAAACCCTACAATTATGACTAAAATTGGCCAGATCAAAAAATGCCACCAATCGATATATACTCTTACTGGGAGTTTGAAATAGTTTAGTGTATCAGAATGGTTTCCAGATTGTGTATGGGTATATTTAAGATTATGAGAAATTCACTAAAAGTCTGATGTCAAACGAGCAGGAGCACTTACAAGAGGGCAGACATACTCTTGGAGCTCTCGGTGACTTGGCTGCGAGAACCATTGTCTTGCCAAGGCGCACAAGCCATGTCCCTTCAATTGTAGCAACTCGCTCGATCTCGGTCGTGATAGTGTGTGGACCTCCTTAGGGTTGATTGTTGGAATAAGAGCATATGTCGTCTGTGTAGTCTCTAAAAACAATTCAAGGAATAGTGTTGCTGTCGGTAAAGAAAAAATTGCTTGCAGCAGAGGCTGTAGACAAGGATAAGACAACAAATTAGAGGGCGCTAGAGCATATACAGAACCATCAAAATAGAGCATCGCGAAAGGCTTCAGGCCAGGAAATGTGCAGAGATGTTTCTTCAAGCACACATCCTACCGGCGCCCCTACACCATGCTCAGAATCTCAGTGATCCAAAAGAAGAAGCGATGCCTCCATGTACGATACATGCCTACAGCGACTTAGGTCGCCGTTTGGAGGATGTTTGCGAAGTCGTCATCTACCAATGAGCCATCCGAGTTATGCAGATTGAGCCTGAACGGCAATGATAGATCGAGACTTAGTGAGAGGACCATGGGATGCACCCGCCAAATGTCCGAGTCCGCGCGTGCATAGCTTTGGGTTGATGAAAATGCACCACGAACGTCCGGGTGCGATGAAGCTGCAGTCCGCTGCAGCTTCTCGAGGCCCTTGCCAATGGAGATCTCGGAAACGGCACTCTCGATCTGTTCAATGCCCTTCTGTGCCATGCTGTATCCCACTAGACATCTCGTCAATAGCCGGAATTGAGTTGCACCAGATCAAAGAAGTGGACGAGGTACGTGGTACAGCGGATTGAACTCAACAGAGACGCGGTTGTCCTCGTCACGCCCGACATTTTGATGGGCTGCACTTGCTGTCAGCGTGACACAAAAAAGGGGATGGGCAGACGCGTGTCGAAGGGACTCATAGTCCAGATGTGTCTGTCGCGCGGCAGACTCAACAATTCCCTGACGCAGTCTCCAACGACTATCACCATAAAGTGTCCGCAGCTGAATATCAAAAGTTACATCAGCATACACCTGTTGTGCTTGAGGGCTGCCATAAAAATATGTTGGAGCGTCAGCCATTGGCACTTGGAAGCGGAGCCTGCATTTATTGCGTGTGCAAGCATGAATCCACAACAATTACTCGGGTAGAGGCAGAACATGACAAACGAGAGGAAGGGGACACGCTGGACGATCCACGCAGCGCGGGAGATCTCATCGTTCTACTATGCCCACTTTGCCGCGTCCGACGGCGGTGGGGCCCATGCACTCCCCGTGCCCGGCCCATTGATGTTCAGTAGCCTGTTCGCAATATACTAGCAGTATACTGCACCCAGTCTGTGAGCCATGCAACAAGCTAAACAGGTTGCAGGAGGCGCACATTTGTGGTTCATATCGAACGAGACTCCCAACGCGCTTGCCAATGGCAGGGCAGATGGGGGTGATAGTCACCTGAGAATATGTTGTTGCACAGCAATGCGCACCTTCAAATTGAATGTCGCCACCTTGTTCAGTGCTCGCAAGTTACTGCCTTGTCTAGTTCAAGCTGTGGCGTGGTGCCGATAGGTCAAAGAGCAATGTTGTGCTGTTCATCATCGTGTTCAACATCAGCGCAATACAGAGCTAGGCGGGTGGGCGCTACAGTGTAGGACCACTCCTTGGGACAGCACCACTCTTTGGAACACTCCACTTTCTGCCCTCGCACAGCCTGTAGGGCCTATCACTACCACTTTACTGTATATAATACATCTATATCTATATGTCATTAGAAGCTCAGAGCCATCCGGTGATTGTAGCGTAGGTGGGGGAGAAAAAAGCCTCAAAAATTGTCAAGTGCGCCGGTTTCAGTGATGCTGTGACCATCATCAGAGTTGCACAGTGGGCCTAAAATTCGCAAAAATATTCATTAATACTCTAATTTATGCTCCATTCATGTTAAAAATGCGCATAGTGCTCAGTTGTTAAGTGTCGAGCTAGAATACATCAGAGATGATTCTACTGAGCTTAGACGTTACTGAGGCGTGACAAATTTGACTGCCGTGCGATCGCTGCATCTGCCAAGACTGCTGGTACAGGTCACAAATTATCACTTTTGTCACATCAGTCATGGTGTCCCAAGGAGTGGTAGCTGCTGTTCTGGACCACCTCCATCTTGTGTCCTTTGTCTTGACATCAGATTTCGTCTTTTTGCCTTGCAGCTTTGCACTGAGGTATTTAATATGTTGTAATAGTATAATCCAGTTTATTTGATATTTATATGCGAGAGACATATGAAGGGGAAGCGAATATTGATCAGGTGTCCCAAGGAGTGGTCCTATACTCACCATGCCTTTCCCTCATACCACCATCATTTTACTTAGACACCCGCACACGTCGCCCATTCGCAATAGCATTCCGCCACTCCCCCGACCCTCTCGCCCTCTACTGGACTTCAGAGGCGTTGTATTGCCCCTGGCTCACGACCCTGATGAGCCCTTTCACCATCTTACCCCACTAACCACCATTTTCTAGACATTTCAATAAGGGACCACCTCGTGCTCACTGCTCACTTGAGCGGGGCCGGGTGGACTAGGTATTTCCCATACCCAATGAGAGCTGGGTCGTCCGGTATAGGAGCAGCCAAAGAGCTTGACTTCTGGATGACCTATGTGTTCCTAGGCTTGCTCGTGCCCTCTGGAGCCAATGCAGCCACCTGCAGTATGGCCTCACGGTCTATTGCTGTGTGTAATGACATAATTAGCCAAGTGAAATATCATTTTGTTTCATCGACAGATACTGCGCGTGAAGTCTGGGAAGCTGTACTAGCAAATCACATTAATGAAACCTTCACCATGTTGTGCCACATGGTGGATAATTGATTGTAGATGAAGCTGTGCCGCATAGCCTTTGCTTCCGAATTACTAGAGCAGAGAGCCCTTTGCCTTGGCCCTTTGTGGTACATGCCAAGGCATTGGACTGTAAATAATTTGTTCATTGACTATGACTAGTACATAGTCTGAACACTCATCTCCGGATCTTTTGTATGTGGACATACCTTATGTCCCAAACAATTGGCTGGATTATCCTGAGTCCATTAGCTTAAATGAGTCCTTACCAGCACCTATCAACCTTGAAGCTCTGTGGCAAGAGGCTGATGCTCACTGGCAAAGATCTTCCTTGCCTGATATGCCTTTGGCAGGCCATGCCCTTGGTGCACTAGCGAAGGACGGCGATTCACAAACGGGGCCAGCTAACTCTAATGCGCCAATACTCTTCCAATGTGTATATGCAAATGTTCAGAAATCTCGTCAGAATATGAACCATCTACTAGAACGGAACCTTGACAAGGACTTGATCCTATTGTGTGAACCATTCTACGGCTATATCAGAAATGTGCCATCTACAACTAATAAGGAAGGGGATGAATATCATGCTTCAGTAACACATAGAAACTTCACGTTTCTGTCCACTGGAAAGGATGCATGTGTATGTGCATTTGTTCACAAACGCTGGGCCCACCTTGGCCCACAAATTACTCCTATTAGGAGCGGCACATGTAATGATGTACTATGCATCACACTATGCATTGACAACAACGATGTTAACTTCCTTGTTGTATATAATGATAGCAAGACTCAGGCAGCACAGGTCTTTCTAAGTGCACGCTGAGATAATATACCACCACTAGCATTTATGGTCGGAGACTTTAATCTCTGTCATATGCGATGGGATGCAAATATGCGTAAACCAGGTGCTGAACAGCGCCAGGTTCAAAAATGCGAAGAGCTAATGGAGCTTGCTGAGCTTGACCTAGCTCTTACACTTGCTAATGATACAGAGAAATGTCCTCCTACATAGATCTCAAATGATCTATCTAAAAGGCC